CAAAGCTCTCTCATCTGACGATATGACTTCATGGTTCTTGGTGACAGGTACCTGTGAAGAATCCTCAAGCTTGTAGACGCCCCGCATTCCATCTTCCCATGCCATCAACCACTCACGCCCAGCGCAAGCGACCTGACGGCATGGAGATCGCCAGACGACTACAAATATGAATACATAATTATAGTCACAATGTATTCCAAAAGCACATACACAAAAATTCAATTTGTCATTTGATTGCTGAGCCACACCTGCCAGTGTACAACCCTGGAACTTTTTGTAGGTCATATCACTCTCTGCTGGTGCAAAGCCTTTCATTTGAGCGAATGACGAGACCTCCACAAAAAACTGCAGAGGTGCAATGAGCTGCTGGCAACCTGTTTCTTGAATATCCACTGTCCTTTGTGCAACAGGTGACACACTGAAACAATCTCAGTTGTCATAGTTATGTACATAATAATCATATTAGTAATAACTCTAACACAAATAGGTACTGTATGTGTCTTGCCAAAACACGTTCGCGGACCGAGTTGATCTGCCGATCGTATGCGCAAATCAGGATTCTCATTCTTGAGGTCAATTAGAGTCGCACGTTGCTTCAGCCATCTTGGTTGGCCGCACGGACACGACCACACACAGAACGCTGAACATTGACATGTTGGCAGGTGTGCAAACTGCAAACAGGTTGCTCATGAAGAGTGGTAGGGTTCGTCTTGAAGTAAGCAGCACACTTTCGCAGCGAGCCCACACGGATCTCCCACCCTCCTCCTGCATGAACCTAAACAACAAATGCCAGAGCACGGAAGGCGTGCGCGTGTGTGTGTGTTGTGTATGTTGTGTGGCAGGAAGGAAGAAAACTCATGTGAAGACAAGATGCATTTGCACATATCATGCAAATCCAGCCCTTGGGATAATCGCGAGTTCCCTGATACCACGCAATGAGCGGGTAGAACTTGCACCTATGTGCTTTGCCGTGTGTGAAGGGAGATGCCATCGTCGACCAGCACAGGCAGAACTGACATCGGAGTGCAATATATCCAGATGGTTTGCTCCAACCCGCTGGAGGTTCCGGTGCAACCGATGAGGGCACAGGTATGGTCGCCACAGAAGACATTCACACACGGGGCTTCAGGCAAATCGCAATCACTGTGTCAGGCTATAGCGTCCAAGAAACCAAAAAAGGGCTGCTGCATTCAGAGCAACAGGTTCACAACCCGCACCACATCGTTCAGTGCACATGAGCACTCGCATGTTCACTCGCACGCTCACTCGTACGTGCACATGTTCACTCGCACATCCACATGTACACTTTCACATGCACACAAATAAGCCTATATATTTTACTATATATAGGCTTATATATCAACATGTGCACAAATAAGCCTATATAGGGTGATATATATAGGCTTATTTGTGTGCATGTGAAAGTGTACATGTGGATGTGCGAGTGAGCGTGCAAGTGAACATGTGAGTGAACGTGTGAACGTGCGAGCGCACAGTCGACTCATGTGTCTGGCTTAGTTAGAAGTACTGTGTGTGGTCAGTGAAGCTCATTCAAATGTCACCAAGCAAACAGAAGGCCTTTTGTCTGCTTTCACCCCTGCAAGACACCAGGTCAATATCAGGCTAACATCGCCTTACATGCCACAAACACACGATCAAATCTCCACAATATAACTCCTTTCAAAACAAAACAATAGCAGAGACATACGAATACAAAGCGCTGCTGTTTGAACTGAATGGCATGCACACTCTTCATGTGGGCGGCTCCATCTGATCGTTTCGGAAATCGTTTTGGACCCTCGTATAGCCATGAAATAAAACGCTCTGTCCATTGCGCCTTGCCATTCCTGAAGAACTTTGCTGACCGTAGAACAGAGCAATCTTGGTGGTACTGACATTTCACTGAGATCGAATGGCGCTGGGTGCCAGGTCGCAGCTCTGTTATACGGCCTGAGATGCTCTTAGTTGTATTTGCTCGTAGTTGCAAGCACGGATTCATAGTTGTTTGACTTAGTGACTAGCGCTAAGTGATGATATGATTAAGAGACTGGACAAACGAGCAAAAAAGGCTTGAAGAAAAATAGATAATATGAATCACACGTGTAAAATCAGGCAGACCACCCAAATAGCTCGAAGCGCCACTGTCTTCCCTGCTGTATACATACCCTTTCTCATCAATAGAACACTGGTTTGGCAATCCAGATGATGCTGCTAACTCAGCATCCCGATCCCGTTCTGGCTGATGTCCTGATGTAGGACAGCGTGTTCCGGACCTTCTCTTGGTCGATGACTGAGCCGCCCCAGCCAGATCGGCATGAGAGTCTTCTGGCACCTCCAAAGTCACGGCCACAATGGAGTTGCAGTACAGTAAACAGTATACAATATACACACGCAAAAACATACAAACATCAGTTCGATAGTACTCGGTATACGGTATTCGACACGAGTAGTCGTTCTTGAGGTTGCTAATTATTACTCTTTCTAAATTAAATGAATTATGTTTACGATGTTTTGTAACTTAAACATGCTTAAACAAATAAATACATTTATTAGCCCGCCCTGTTATTCATGCTTTACATGGATTGGTTTGTACAGAAACAACCGTGCAGTATATGAACGGGACTGTACTTATTATATTTGGCCTTTGGTTCCACTGACAGGCCTTCTCTTTCGCTGAGGCTCGCTTTCTGACAGGAACATCCGGCGGAGCACTGCGTAAGTCAAAGCTGTACGATGAAAGATGGCCAAGTCGACGTTCCCGTGCTTCTAGCCACAGCTGCATAATCTCTGGGTCCACAAAATGTACTTCATCGGGTGGTAGTCGGTCAGCCAGGTCTCCTTCACTCAATTATTGACCCTGTAAATAATCATATCATATAATATCATGATTCATATTATTTCCCAGTATATATGACTATGACTCATGATTCATGACTATGACTCTATGACTCTGAGTATCTAAGATCACATGCATGCCGCGACCACGAAATGAACTACCTACTTTGGTTGACTACCTACTTTGGCTGTGTACTTACTTCTCACCATGGGCTGCAATTGTATCTAGACCAGACTAGACTACAACACCAACTGGAAAGTCAAACAGCACACTATAAGAACACACCATAATACGCCATGTTCTCCTTCCGTCTCTTTCTTGGAATTGGTTTGGGCTGCTTTGCGCTTTGGCTTTGGCTTGGATGCCGGCTTGGATGTGGCTTTGTGTTTGGACGTGTCACCCAAAGATGACAGGAGTTCATCTAGCATGCTGTCAATCTCGCACAGTTCCTCCTCTTCTGTTTTGGCGTTTGTGTCATCACCATCATCATCTGAGTCATGACTGCTAAACGTGTCTCCTCCTATCCAGTTGATTGGCTTTGTAAGAACAAGCTTTGTCAAAGGCTTTGCGCAGTCAAGATCATATGGCGGATTGTAGCAATATTCCAACGCACTTCCAGGAAGGCGCTGCTTCATCAGGGCAGCGGTGAAAGATATTTCATCGATGCAAACAAAGTTCGGGAGACAGTATTCAGAATTCTCAACAGCAACATCAGCCAACTCCACTTCACAAAGTGGTTTCAGATCTGGCAGAGGAACCTTGAGGGCGATGCCATCAATGGCTTTAGGCTTAAACACAGCCCGTGTGAGCAGCCATCCGAGGGTTGTGCTTCTCTCTTCTGTAATCGCGCGAATGAATAGCAAAGGATGGCGGATGCTGCCCGTGATTTGCTTACGCATCGCTTTGTACAAGTCCTGCATTGCCCTGTTGACATGGAGCAACAAGCCCCTCACTTGATTGAACAGCTCCCGGTCTACCCCGTGTTCTTCCAAGGCTGTTGTCACACAGAAACTACTACATTGCCGAGGTATGTTCACAGAAGGCAAGTCCAGGGCAGAACATGCCTTCACATCGGAGTGAGCATCTCTCCATTCTCCTGCCATCTTGTCCGCAAAGGACTTGCCATTTGCAAACTGCTTGAAAAGCTCTTGGCCAACGGCATAGTCCTGGTCGCCCAACCCAAGCAGGCCAATGCCGGTGCCCAAGCCACTGCTGTCAGATTGCGTCACTGAAGGTTTGCTTGTTTCAAGCGCCCTTTTCCAAATACCGGAGTCATCCAAAGCGCGTGTCTTGCAAGTTGCTCTCAAGCAAGGATCATCCTCAAGCAAGTTGACTTTATGTATGGATTGGAAGGTCTCAAGTGTGTGTGTGTGTCACATACATGCGCATACGCTCTACAGTGTGTCACACAGTGTGTCAATGTCATTGTCAATATATAAACGTACATACATTTGTGTTTGCATCCTGTGGGCTTACTGTAAAGGACTGCGCAAGGACTATTCTGGCTATGCACTGCAACAAACATGGTCACAGATTTTTGACATGCAGAAGTTGTTCTGCGCTGGTTCAATGAATCTTGATAGGCACACTTTGTTTGTGTGCTGATAGTGTTGCAATTGTCTTGCGTTGTCAAACTGAAGGAATACTGCCGGGTTGCCAGTATGTTTTTCTGGCTAGTGACATGACATAGTACAGTATGAATCCACTGTCAGTGTTTCAATGCCACATCAGGATTGAGAATTCAGAATTGCTATCTAGATACATCAAAACACAAATAAAAGGAAAACACTTACGTATAAATAATATATAGCTATGTAAGTTACAAGTAACCAGTTACAACTTATGTAGATTGTAATTAAGTTTAGGTCGCAATCAAACATACATACACAATGACAATAGTATCTACAGGAGGCCCCTATGTGATATGTTAACACCCTGACCGTACAGTGGCGGGTCTGTCAATACCTTTTGAACCCACACGCAAACACCTACCTGCCACAGCTCACTCACGTCAGTATAGTCTAGTCTAGTCTAGTCTAGTCATCCATCTCTAGTTTGCTTCTTCATCTGTGATCAGCGATCAGTGATCATTCAGTCATCTCGTGTGACTCTGTATGACTGTATTATTATGTAACTATGACTCGCAGGCAATGAAGAAAGGAACATGTGACTAGCAACTAATTACAACTACTAGTCGATTAGTTGCATGTCACCACAACTGCTAAAGTGCAATGGGCAATGGCAGCCTTGGACCACTGAAAAAGAAACCGGCCTGCCAAGTTTGCTTTGCAGCTCGATGCAGCCGCTTTAGATAGTCACCATATGCTTCACCAGAATTCCGTGGAACATGAACTCTTTGATCTTCGACATGGCGGAAGTACCCGTGGTTCCCTCTTGCTTTCTTCTTGGGCTTGTCAAAAGATTGGTCGTCATTGGAGCACTCCATCGATAATGATTCAATAGCCTCGATGTACTCATTGGCACCGAATCCTCGCGCTGAACTCTGTGTGGCAGCCACCGAATCAATTTCCGCATCTATGGATTCTAAAAGTCGTATTGCTGATGCTCCACTGCCGGTTTCTGCATCATCTTCATCCCTACCCCGCACACGGGCGTCAGAGTGAAGTGAAGACGATGTCCCCATCACAACCCCTGCGGTCCATGGTGGAGGAGGTATGTAGGGAACTACGATGTCCTCAGCAGGCTGTGTCTTGGCTTCAAGGTCTGATAAATGGTAGTGCTTGAGCTCTGCAAGGATATGCTTCGCACAGTTTGTGGAGAGGTTGACAGGACGGCCTCAACTTGTCGTCAGCTGTGCAGGAAAGAAACTGCTATTATTGAGATACATTCTGTGACACTCACGAAGCAACGACCAAACACAAACAAAACAAATAGCTATTTATGATGTATGAGTATGAGTGAGTGAATATGAATGAAATGATTATGATATGAATCAATGAATCCCCTACAATATGTGTAGCGATATGTGGATATATGATTCGATATATGATATGATATATGATTATATGACTCATCATCAAGATCATATGATGATATTGATATATGATGTATGATAATGATATGATATGATATATATAAATTTGTAAATTAATGTTAGACATGTGAGAATGACACACAAACACATTGGTTTCGCACATGTAGCTGTTGAGAGCGTTGGGGTCCAGAACGATCTTCTGATCTTGCTAGTAGTAATACAGGGCTTGGTTCAGTAAATACGAGTAACGATACATCAATCATTCATAGACACAATGCTCAAGATGATGTGAGTGTTTTGTTATAGCGCCTTGCCTTCGCCTACTAAAAACATTCCAGAATCAGAATCTATTAATGATTATCTTTGGCAATAGAATCATGGATCATGAATCATGAATCAATAGACAAATCAAGATGCCGGTATATATTCCTAGATTGCTTTGGTCATCAACAACACCTTTCATGAAAACAACATTACAGTTACAGGCGCCTCGGGCACACTTGGCTGCACTCACACATCTTGCGAAGTTGTTCTCGATTTGGGAGTTGGTGACTTTCTGAACGCTTAGAGAATCAATGACAGAGCGAAACTCCTCTTGTAAGAGCTTTTTGACATCCATATCTTCGCGAAGTTGTGAGCGGAGTCTTACGCTGCACCCAATATCCAAACAACAAGGCCTAGCCCTGCTGAAAGCACTGCAAACCTGATCTTTGCTTTGTTGAGATACTCGGGGATCAATGAGGCATACCAACCGCCACGGCCACATTCTGTACTGGACACGCAAACGCCGCCAGCCACTTGTCGCCACCAGAAGCACGCAGAAGAACAGTAGGCTGACACAGAAGGGCTCTGGCTCCCTCCTAGCTCCACGCGCTGTGCATTGATTGGCCAAGTCAAGGCCACTGCCAGGGTATCCTTGGATTGAGTGAAACTCCAAGCCACACCACCTATGCTTGGGGTTCCAGCAACTGTCATGTCATGTTAAACAAAGCGTCTGCATGGTTTGCTGTATATCTTTTGGTGAAAAGTGATTCAAGAACACGCGTGATCAGAATGACATGCTTTCAGTACCACTACTGGTATCGATGTATCGGCAGCAAAGCTATAATCAGATTCAGCACTAAGCGGCGTGAAGATATGAACTGCATACTCACCATGTCGTGTCAAATTGCTTTGATGTAACACTAGCGCGGTATGTACGTGTGTTTGTATGTACTCGTAGGTGTGTTTGTTGTTGTTTGTTTGTATGTTTGTATTGTATGTACACAATGTCACGTCACTTATTTTATCGCCTTATCGCTGATCACTGATCACTGATCGCTGAGCACTACTCATGTCAGATCACATCACTCATGTCACATGTCACAATTCATATCTATCATTTGTAGACATCATGAATCATAAATCATGAATCATGAATCATAAATTATAAATCATAAATGACTCTGGCTGAATAGTCAACTAGTCAACCATGTCTCCAGTAGTCTGAGTAGACTTTAATTTATACACCAGCAATCCGGGACAAGCGACCATCCAACAAAAGCAAAGGACCTTCTTGACCAAAAGGATCTGTCAGCATATTCAAGGATGCAGACAGCTGCTTCACCACTGGGCTGCGACATGGGGTCACCAAATTGACTAGCGGCCGCTTGCACACATCTGCGCTCAACCACAGTTGCCGCTTCTGTCCCTCCATGAAATGGCAGGAAAGGTCATACATAGGCTCTGTTGCTATGATTGCAGTCAATAGTTCTGTAGTTGTCTCTGGACGGTCCAACCATGCTTCTGATTTTGCAGCCCTGCAGCCCTGCACACGCGCAACTGGAACATCAGGGCAAAGAAACGGAGACTCATCCACGACCGCTGTGGCAAGCGGTACAAGGGCAAGTGAAGCAAGATTGGCTTCAATGTCCTGGGACTTTGATTTTGTAAAGATAGATTTGAAGCCCGCCTGAAAAATGCCATGGCAGGAAAAGGCCAGAACGAACCATTTGGCTGTGTCTGAGCATTTCAGCCATCGGCTCAAGGCCGGGATTGGAGGACGGGAAGCCAACACAATCTCAGCAAAGGAAGAGGTTGCCGCTTCAATCAGCTGATCCACATTTGAACATCCACAGGAGCAAATCACAGAGCAATGATGCACAAGCCCTTCCGGTGTATGATCACTCCAATTGCCATTGAATATGGCTAGGAATCGCTCGATCTGCCTATCCAGCGTTTTGTTGAGCTTACCGTCAACTCCCTTTCGACGCTTCTTCAAAGCCATGTCCAGAATAGTCCGAGCGAAGGACGCATGCTTTTGGCTAGGTGGGGTGTAGCAACGGCGTAGGTTCTTCTTGATGTAAGCAGCTGTGTGGCCCACTATATCCAGAAAAGTCTGTCCGTAGCTGATCACGTTGCTCAAACAAAACCTCATGTGACATGTGAGTCAAACAAGACCTATCGGCTGTGTTTGTGTCTATGCTCAACGCCAGCATTTGTTTGCACACGCGATTGACTATTTATCAAATGTCTACTGACACTGAAAGACGCATCAAACAAATACTACTTAGGCCTTTCAACTATAGACATAGACTATATAGCAAGTCAAAAGATCTAGCTTAACAAGATACGTGATGAGTTGAATCATGTGTTGAATATATAGTCAGTATAATATACTGTAGATCGATTCGATTCACGCTATCAATATTAAACATATTAGAAAACATTAAGTGGTTTGATCATATTTAGTCTATTTGCACATGTATGTGACGAGTTGACTCTTTTCAAGCATTCTATGACAGGACAACTCTGACCGCAGCTTGTTTAGTTGGCAATGTTTAGTTTACAAGTCTAGGAGTCTGTGAGTCTATGAGTCAGATATATTTATATAAAAACAATATGATTATATATGAGTTCTGAGTGAGTTTTGAGTTATAAGTTATGAGTCATGAAGTGAGTCATGAGTCAGTTATGAGTCATGAGTCATGAGGTACATCAACCACACCACCCTGGACCCCTGCACAACGTTGCCATCTCCTTTGAGCAGCATGGCATTCACACCCAAACCAGTCCACACATTCTCAACAGCGTGGTTTGCCTCATGCCTAAGTTTGAGAGAAATGAGCAGAGAGCCTTGAATTAATGTAGCAGTAGCAGTTAAAAGTTAAACAGTCTCAGTCTCACCCCATTCTCACTCTGATTGTGACTAGGTGTGAGCCCAGACTGAACCTGCGCAAAACGACAAACAAATTTTGTCAAGTCAAATGATTGGACACACAGCAGCTAATCTAGCAGTTGCTTACGCAAGTCCCCCCTCTAACTCTTACGAACACGACTATACTA